CTACTACTACTACTACGACGACGACGACGACTACTACTACTACTTCTACTTCTACTTCTACTTCTACTACTACTACTACTACTACTACTACTACTACTACTACTACTACTACTACTACTACTACGACTACTACGACTACTACTACGAAACGTTCAGCCGCCAGGCACGTCGCACGACACCGATCCCTTGCCACAAAACAAACATTGCTCGACGCGGCGATATATGTGCATCTCCTTCCCTGGCGCGTCGAGCTGTGGGTGTCTGGCTGTGAGCGCCTGGGTGCGAAAGTGAACCCGAGTGGACGACGGGTACGACGAAAACGACGACGACGACGGCAGCGGCTACGATGAGGGACAACGCCGACCACGACGACGACAACTCACAGACAGACAGGCAGTGAGCAGGCCGTTCCCCTGTCCTTGGTCGTCTCCTTCGTCCTACTCCATCCCTTCTCTTCCTCCTGTCTCACTTCTCCCTCCTCCTGCGTCCGCCTCATTCTTTTCCCGTGCTCCCTCATCCTCCCTGGGGGCCGTCCTTCTCCCTCCTCGTGCGTCCTCCTCGTTCCTCCTCCTTGTCGTCTCTCCTCCGCCGTCCTCCCCCCTCCTCCCTGGCAAGTGCCCCCCCTCCCTGGCGGCCCCCTCCCCTCTCTTTCCTCTTCCTACTCGCTGGCGGCCGTCCTTCTACATCCTCGTGCGTCCTTCTCCATCTTCCTCCTTGTTCGCTCTCCTCCGCCATCATACCTCCTCCCTCCTCCCTCGCGGGTGACCCCTCCTTCGCGGCCCCCTCCCCTCGAATTCCTTTTTCCTACCCGCCGAAGCCCCTCCCTCCTCTTCTTCCACCCTCCCGTCTTCCTCCTCCTGCGTCATCATCTTTCCTCCTCGGTCCTCCGCCCTCCTCCTTCTCATCCTCCGCTTTTCCTCCGCCCTCATCCGCACTCCTCCGCACGCAGGCGGCCCAGGTCGCTCGTTGAGCGTACCCTCCCCTCCTCCTCGTCCTCGCCCTCGTCCTCGTCGTCCTCTTCCTTCCCCCTCGTGCCGGCCTCGTCGCACGTTTTTGGTGGCATTGCGAGTGGCTCATTTGCTTGGGTCAGGGGCGTTCGCCCGCAAGCATTTGAGTTTTGAGGATATTTCTCCTCCATTTCCGTGAGGCGTGTGCCTGCCGCCATGACGCAGAAGAGCGGCACGGTAGACTCGCAACGGTTTCGTCTAACCTGTTCTTGGCTTGCCCCTTTCGTCTGCGCGGCATCCTCATCCTCCTTCTGCTCCTCCTGCTCCGTATCCTGCTCCTGCTCTTGCTCCTGCTTCTCCTCCTGCTCCTCCGCCTCCTCATCATCATCAGCAGCATCATCAGCATCATCATCAGCAGCATCATCAGCATCAGCATCAGCATCACCATCAGCATCAGCATCAGCATCATCATCAGCATCATCATCATCATCATCATCATCATCATCATCATCATCATCATCATCATCATCATCATCATCATCATCATCATCCAGCGTGACCGCCAGGCCCAGCATGGCCGTGGCCTACCCCGGCGCATTGGCAGTTGGGCCAGCACCCGTTGCAGCCAGCAGCAATCCGCTGCGCCAGGATCAGTCGTCGCACCGGCCATCGGTGCCCCCGACGTTCACACCGGCACCAGCACCAGCACTCGCTGCGCCAGCAGCACCCGCCGCGACAGCAGCGGAATCTGCGGTTGCACCGACGATTGCACCAGCGCGCCAGGGCGGCGCCTCTGGCGCGCCTCCGTCGGCCGGCCCTGGCGGTGGCGACGACGACGACGACGACAGCGCCGACGAGAATGGCAGCGGGCCGACGAGGACGCCGCCGACGAGGAGCCAAAGCCGCGCCGAACCACACGCCGTTCTCACAGGGTCCCTCCCCTCGGCGCCGATCCTGACGTTTTGGCGCGGGAGAAGCTGCTGGTCGGATGACGGAATACCTGTCTTACCGGGCCGTCGGCCGTTTAAACGATGCCGCCACAACAAAATTCCGCGAAGTTAGCCGCGCACTCCCCAGACAGGTCCTTGCCCGGGACTGGGAGCGCGCTGTTGGTTCTGGTGACACTTTAGGGTGGACCGCGTGGGCGGGGAGCGTTGCCTTGGATCGATTGGGAAGGGGACTGCCGATCCCATTACAGACGCGAACGAGCTCCTCGACGGCATCGGGCACAAGAACGACGCCCTTGAAAATCGCAGTGAGTTTGGGGAGGTGCTTCGGGCGCTTGCTTCCAGGAAAATGCACTCCCTCGCGAAGCTGGAGCGGGAATTTCTCAATGCCTCTGGCGCGAGGGGCCCGCGTGCGTTCTGCAACGCGTTCCCCGACGCCGTCTTCAACGACGGCTACCACGCCCTGGCGGAGCGGAAGTCCCAGGCGGCAGTGGCGAGGCTCCCGAGGGGCCAGTCTTCCAGGGAGTACGAGTACGTCAAGCACGCGCTAAACAGGCACGACGGGGAGGCGCGGCACTGGGGGGCAGCGCGACATTTGCAGGAGTT